GCCGAGTTCTAACCACTGGACCGCCAGGGAATTTCCTAAGCTTTTTTTTTTTTTTTTTTTTCCCCCAGTATGTGGGCCTCTCACTGTTGTGGCCTCTCCCATTGTGAAGCACAGGCTCTGGATGCGCAGGCTCAGCGGCCATGGCTCATGGGCCCAGCCGCTCCGCGGCATGTAGGATCTTCCCGGACCGGGGAACGAACCCGTGTCCCCTGCATCGGCAGGCAGACTCTCTACCACTGCGCCACCAGGGAAGCCCCCTAAGCTCTTTTTAAAGTAACTTTCCAAAATGGTTACAATTTTAATAACTTGCATGGGGCTTAGTATCTAAGATCTAGAGTGGCTTTCCTAGGTATTGTACTCAGTAATTGGTACCAGGAGAGTTACTAGGTGTTCTCAAGACAAGTTATACTAAAAATTGGTTCACTCAGGGAATCTTTCTTTTTGAAAATAGCCTGACTTAGTCTCAATCAGATTTTGTTAGAAAATGTGAGTAAGTGTCCCACTGAGATTTCAAAGACATACCTCACTTTCAATTTTTCACTTGACATTGCAATTCTCACCTTTGAGCTTCTGTCTCCAGAACCCGCCAGGGACTCTGCCCTTCTCGACACCTGCGTGGTGAGAGGGAGCTCTGGGTTACGCCCCTCCATAAATTCTTCCCTGGGCTCCGCATCAGGAGGGTTCCTCAAGCACATTCAGGGAAGGCTGATCAATCCTTGGCTCCCAGCCCATGCCCACTGGAAGAGCAAGGGTACTGCACAGTAATTCAGACTTGCCCGCTACAATTCCAATGTGTTTTGAAAGCAGTGCACCCCTGACGCCTACTCAGTGTTTACACAGGCACTAAATTAGGCTCTGTGCTGTAGCTGTGGAAAACACATGGCTCTGCAGTCAAACAATTTGTCATTTTTCAACAAGCGACTTTCCTTCTCTGAGTCCCAGTTTCCTAATTTTCAAAGTGGGGATAATAGGAGGCATCTTACAGGGTTGCTGTGAGATTTCAGTAAGACAAGGTTTAGTAAGGAATTTAGTGCCATAGCTGATACATAGCAGATGCTCAGTCAGTGGTCGTTGCTGTATTTTCCATTGTTTCTTTTTTTTATCCACAAGGATCATCCTTATCAGTGTCATGGAAACAAGAGACTGCTGAGGGCTTCCCTGGTGGCGCAGTGGTTAAGAATCCGCCTGCCAATGCAGGGGACACTGGTTCGAGCCCTGGTCCGGGAACACCCCACATGCCACGGAGCAACTAAGCCCATGCGCCACAACTACTGAGCCTGAGTTCTAGAGCCCACAAGCCACAACTACTGAGCCTACGCGCCTAGAGCTTGTGCTCCGCAACAAGTGAAACCACTGCAATGAGAAGCCCACGCACCACAACGAAGAGTAGGCCCCACTCACCGCAACTAGAGAAAGCCTGTGCGCAGCAACGAAGACCCAATGCAGCCAAAACTAAATAATAAATAAATAAATTTATTTTAAAAATAAAAGAGACTGCTGAGAGGTTCCGTAGATGGGATTGTGGAAATACGAGGGAGGTCTCATTTTTAGTTTACTATCAGCTTTTTCTGCCCTTTAGAGCAGATTAGCCATTCACTTTGAACTTTAATTCTCAGGGGTATATCATCTTGGAGACATTCAAGCTAGAAAGAACTGTGGCTTGAAGTGATCAAGGTGAAGGATTTGGGTAAGAGTAAATATACTGTTTCTTCAATTTGGCCTTGGGGTAGGCAGAGCAGAATGAGAACAGAGGACAGAAGAGGTCCCCTCCCCTCCGTGGTTCGTACTGACTCCAGGCTCTAAGGCGAAAAGCAAGTGGGGTTCTGGGATCAGGTCAATCTGTCCTGACAGAACCCCCTGTGATCACCCCTACAACAGGAGGGCTGATTAGCACTGTGGGGAAGCAGGGGGAGGAGTCCTCTGGTGGGCAGGTCAAGCTGGGATCAGGACAGTAACAAGATCTCTAACTCTGCCCTTATCGGAAGCATCCACATTACTTTAAAAACCCTAAGGAAGCTAGCGGTTGGGATTGGGGTGGGAGCTAAGGGTGCAGTATCAATATAAACAAGGAAAATACTAAAAACACGGATAATTTATTCCAATCTGGTTGAAGGCTGAGAAACTAGATTCCTTTTTCCAAACCAAAACTAAGTCGCCTGCTTTCTTTTTATGTTACACACTGTATCACTGATACAAAAAGACACACCTTCACTGTGGCCATGAAGTGAACGTCTCCAGAAGATGCTTTCCTTCTGCTTTCCTTCCTTGTGCTCAGCTGCGAATCTGGTGAATGACTCCAATAACTCAGACACACAATCCTAGGTACAACTTCCTTTCACTTCTAGAAGGGACAAAAACGATGCCTGACGTAGAGGACAGACCACGTCCTTCCAGTCCTCATTAGAGAAGCCACGAAGACACACACCTGCAGAGTCAACCAACCAGGCACCAAGGCCTTTACCTCTGAACAAAAATAATGACGGAAGGTGTGGGCTGAAGACTGACTCTGTGGATCTGAAACTGGCTCTGACCCTTCCTCGCTGTATGACACTGAGAAAGTGACTTGACCTGTCTGTGCCTGTGTTAATGGCTCCTACCTTTCACAGCCTGCTGCAAACATGAATGAGTCCACTTGTGTACGCATGGTTGGTGCATGTTAGCACTCCCCAGTGCCAGCTGCTGTTCTTATCTATTCAAGTCTGCAAAACCCAGGTCTCTCTCATGTAACCATCTGCCTGTGCCTTGTGATATTTTGAATTCCCTCTCTGTCACTAGCTGTGTGCCCTGGAGAAAGTTACTGAATCTCCCTGAGCCTTGGTTTCCCTCCCTATAAATTGGGGGCAGTTATAATTACTTTCAAAAGTCATTGTGAGGATTAAATATTAAGGTTTTTAAAGTGCTTCCCATGTAGAGAAAAGGAAACCCTCCTACACTGTTGGGAATGTAAACTGATGCAGCCACTATGGAAACAGTATGGAGGTTCCTTAAAAAACTAAAAATACAATCACCATATGACCCAGCAATTCCACTCCTGGGCATATAACCGGAAAAGATGAAAAGCCTAATTTGAAAAGATACATGCATCCCAATGTTCACTGCAGCACTATTTACAATAGCCAAGACATGGAAACAACCCAAGTGCACATCAACAGACAAGTGGTTTAAGAAGATGTGGTAGGGCTTCCCTGGTGGCGCAGTGCTTGAGAGTCCGCCTGCCGATGCAGGAGACGCGGG